AGCCAGTACACAACCTGGCTACGTTAGGGTGTTAGCGCCTGCGCGATATCTCACCAGAGGAGTTAAATTTTGTGATTAATATTCATTTAAAATGGTTAGGGGATATCTCAGCATAGATTTCCCTAATAGACTTCTAGCAGTTGATGTGGTTCATAATTAGAAGAGCGCCCTAGCATGTAGGGTACAAAACACCTACTTGATTCCTTCGCGTCCTTCCCCTTGCCTCCCCTGTCCCTCGCTCAGCCTCCTTCTTCTTCTACCGCCCCAGCTATCTTCCCCACCGCCTTTCCTCGGTCTCCCATCCCCTCTCCCCCGCAGCAAGCTATAGCTATATATTATGAAGTTTTCCTCAGGCGGCACTGCACGCCTAACACGATGCGCGCGCATGCGCAATATCTCCCAAGAGAAAACGTATTTTGCAAAGATTATGCATTTAAAATGAAGAGGAGTTACATTATCTTAGCATAGATTTATATGATAACATTCTATCAGTTGACATCATTTAAGAAATAGGAGGAATACCTTAATTGCATGTAAGGTCCTCGCTGCGTATACCAGCCAGTATATAATCTGGCTACGTTACTGTGTTAGCGCATGCGTAATATCTGACCAGAGGAGTTATATTTTGTGATGAATATACATTTAAAATGGTTAGGGGATATCTCAGCATAGATTTCCCTAATAAACTTTAATCAGTAGACCTGTGTTTATAACTAGGACCGCGCCCTAGCATGTAGGGTACAAAACACCTACTTTATGCCCTCGCGTCCTTCCCCTTGCCTCCCCTGTCCCTCGCTCAGCCTCCTTCTTCTTCTACCGCCCTAGCTATCTTCCCTGCCGCCTTTCCTCAGTCTCCCATCCCCTCTCCCCCGCAGCAAGCTATATTATGAAGTTTTCCTCAGACGGCACTGCACGCCTAACACGATGCGCGCGCATGCGCAATATCTCCCGAGAGAAAACGTATTTTGCAAAGATTATGCATTTAAAATGAAGAGGAGTTATCCTAGCATAGATTTATATGATAACATTCGATCAGTTGACATCATTTATAAAATCGGAAGAAGACCTTGCATGTAAGGTCCTCACTGCGTATACCAGCCAGTACGCAATCTGGATAAGTTAGTGTGTTAGCGCATGCGCAATATCTCGCCAGAAGAGTTATATTTTGTGATGAATATACATTTAAAATGGTTAGGGGATATCTAAGCATAGATTTCCCTAATAAACTTTTATCAGTAGACCTGTGTTTATAATTAGTAGAGCGCCCTAGCATGTAGGGTACAAAACGCCTACTTTATGCCCTCGCGTTCTTCCCCTTGCCTCCTCTGTTCCTCGCTCAGCCTCCCTCTTCTTCTACCGCCTCCAGCTATCTTCCCTACCGCCTTTCCCAAGTCTCCCAACCCCTCCCTCCTTCAGCAAGCTATATTACAATGTTTGCCTTAGACGGCACTGCACGCCTAACATGGTGCGCACGCATGCGAAATATATCGCGAGAGAAATCGTATTTTGCATAGATTATGCATTTAAAATGAAGAGGAGTTATCCTAGCATAGATTTATATGATAACATGCCATTAGTAGACATCATTTAAGAAATAGGAAGAAGACCTTGCATGTAAGGTCAACGCTGCGTATACCAGCCAGTACACAATCTGGCTACGTTAATGTGTTAGCGCATGCGCAATATCTCACCAGAGGAGTTTTATTTTGTAATAAATATGCATTTAAAATAGCTATATTATAATGTTTGCCGCAGACGGCACTGCGCGCCTAGCCCGGTGCACGCGCATGCGCAATATCTCCCGAGAGAAATCGTATTTTGCAAAGATTATGCATTTAAAATGAAGAGGAGTTATCCTAGCATAGATTTATATGATTACATTCCATCAGTAGACATCATTTAAGAAATCGGAGGAAGACCTTGCATGTAATGTCCCCGCTGCATATGCAGGCGACAGATATCCACATCCAAATGTGGTCTTACGCCACCCGGGGCGCGAAATTTTTTTCCCCACTTGAGTTCCGGACCCACCATAGATAGTGTTTTGTAATATATGGTTCGTATATATATGGTTAGATTATAGTTAGTGTTAGGGTTCGGGTACGGGTTAGGGTTAGGGTTAGGGTTAGGGTAAGGGTAAGGGTAAGGGTTAGGGTTAGGGATAGGTGGTATTCATTTTACATTGTTGCTTTGAGGAAGTCGAGTGAATGGAGTGCGCTGATTAGCTGAGGTCTGGAACTCAAGTGGGAAAAAAAATTTCGCACCCGGGGCCTAGGGCCCCACTGGCGCAATAATACACTGTGCAAATGATGCAGCCTACTTTTCATTGCTGGAGGCGGTATAGCTTACAACCAAGGCTTACCACACACTACTATATAAAAGGCCTTAAGCCCCCTTCATACACAATACTATATTATGTGGCCTTGGTGGGCTGCCAGCATACAATATAGTACAATTCTATATAGATGGCATTAGGCCATCGTCATATACAATATTAAATATGTTACCTTGGCCCCTCATTATAAACTATTCTATTATTACAATACTATATATGTGGCCTTGGGCACCCATCATACACTATTATTACAATTCTATTTAGGTGGCCTTAGGCCCCCGTCATACAAATACTATATATGTGGCCTTGAGCCCCCATCATACACTATTCTGTTATTACAATTCTATATAGGTGGCCTTGAGCCCTCGTCATCCTAATACTATATATGTGGCTTGGGCCCCCATCATACACTATTATTACAATTCTATATAGGTGGCCTTAGGCCCCCGTCATACAAATACCATAATTATATGTGGCCCTGGGCCCCCATCATACACTATTATTACAATTCTATATAGGTGGCCTTAGGCCCCCGTCATACAAATATAACGCCGGCAACACTATAACGTGATACTAATAACTTACCGAGTGCAGCACTGGCGCTTATCTTGTTTTTTCCTATTTAAAGCTATATCTATGCCTATGGGTAATACAATCGGCATATACCATGGTAACTTGTTTTAGCATTACTAAAATACGTAAACAAAAAGAAATCTTTTCGGTCGCGGAAAGGTTATTGTCGGAGTGAGCTGACGGGGGCTGGAGGCCACCGGCGGGGGACGAGGTGGTCTTAAGCCAAACATGTATATCTGTCGCCTGCGCTGAGCATACCAGCCATGCAGTACACAATCTGGGTACGTTAGTGTGTTAGCGCATGCGTAATATCTCACCAAGGGAGTTATATTTTGTGATGATTATGCATTTCAAATGGTTGGGAGGTATCTCAGCATAGATTTCCCTAATAAACTTTTATCAGTAGACCTCTGTTTATAATTAGGACAGCGCCCTAGCATGTAGGGTACAAAACACCTACTTTTCACGCTCTCTCTCTCTCTCCCTCTCTCGCTCTCTCGCTCTCTCTCTCTCTCTCCCTCTCTCTCTCTCTCTCTCTCTCTCTCGCTCTCTCTCTCTCTCTCTCTCTCTCTCTCTCACGTCCTCACTCCCTGCCTGTTTCTCCCTTTCTTCTATCTCACACGAGCATTCTACACGTTCTAAGTAGGTAAGTAAAAGAAAAATATAAGAAAGAATTAAGAAAGAATATAATTTTATCGCGGTTTGCTTCTCACATGTATCTGCTTCATAATTATTTATACAATAAATACCCCTTCCTGCCTATACAGGAACACTTGGCCCAATATACATGACACTAGCAGTCGATAATTGAATATAGCAATGCACGTAGAAATTTCGCTCGTATATACGTGCCTCATCGTTTCTTTCTTTTCAGCTGCTGGTCGTACGTTGGTCAACAATCCAACAACTATCGCCAGGATCTGTCTCTTGGGAGTGGGTGCGAGTACAAGATGACGGCCATTCATGAGATGATGCACGCGGCTGGTTTCTACCACACGCAGAGTCGCTACGACAGAGATGCTTACGTCGACATATACTGGGAAAACATCATGGATGGTAATTGTCATGAAGTGATCATGAAATTTGGCATTTAAAAACGCGCGCTCACGCATGCACGACGGCACGCACGCACGCGCAAGCACACACACGCACACACGCACGCGTGCACTCACACACACACGCTAGCACGTACACGCACACGCCTGCACACACGCATGCACGCACACGCGCGTACACCCGCGCACGTGCGATGTACGCACGCGGGCAGGCGCGTACACACACACACACGCGCGCGCGCGCACGCACACTCGCTTGCACGCACGCACGCACGCACGCACGCGCACACACACTTAATATGTATTATACAGACCTAATGTATTTTTAGAACAAGAATGATGCATTGCTAACAATTAAAATATGCGAATTATATCGTGAATTATATCGTGAAATACATTCCACGCTATTACCATTATCGCATATGAAAGGGACACATGACCTTATGTTCCTTGCATATTTTCAGTTAAAAGCGGCTTAAACTACGCTACGTAGAAAACGTTGTAATATATTGAATTTAAACTATTATTTATATACTTAGTATCATAATATACCCTAAAATTCTAGGGGTGTGGGATCCCTTTAAGACTATATAATTGTTACCACGCGTTGCGCAGGCTATGCATACGCTTTCGACATGTACGATTCATCCTACATCACCAACTACAACGATTACGATCTCAACTCGGTCATGCACTACCAAACGTGGGCCTTCTCCAAGAATGGTCTGCCGACGATCACGGCTAAGAACGATCCGGATGCAACCATCTATCTCGGACAGCCACACGTCGGTGGAGGCTTCGCCACGTCTGACATTGTTAAACTCAACGAGATGTACAACTGTTAGACAGAACCACATACACGCATATATTCGATTAAAATATAGGGATATATATATATATATATATATATTATTTATATATATACTATATATCTTTTGCTATCTTTATCCTGCTCAATTATACGGTTAAAGGCAAAATTATTTTATTATTGAATGCTTATCGGCTGGTGGGGGTTTATAACTTCGATTATCTGTTTAACAATAAAACCAGGTTTTTTAAATGTCATGAGTTGCAGTAGTAATAAAATAGAAATTGATAATAAATGAATTGATCTTTACTTTTTCATCTGCAATATACGAACACCGCCACTGACGCCATCCATGTACCATACACACATGCCCACACAAACACAAGCCACACACCCATAGGGACCACGACACACACGACACACACACCACACACACAACACCACCACACACACAGCACACACACAACACACACCATCACGAACATACACACACACCGAATAACAGTACACACACGACACACACACACACACACACACCACACACACAACACATACATACACAGAAAGCTAGAGCAGAAGGGCAACTCATGCGAGAGGCATTACCTCCGCCAGCATGTATAACTATGTATAGTGTTACGAGGTCTGCTCGCCCCCTCGCCGCGTTGCTGCTGGCTGGCTGAGGCTGACTGCCTCGCGCGAGCTGCTGACTCGCCTGTTCGCTCTGGTGTATATATGATATACTAATCAGAGCGGTATTAAGAGGCATTCTTTAATACGCTCTTGCATATATATCAGAAGTTAGATTAATAAAGAATGTCCAATTATCTACTGTATTATTAATTAATTAATCCTCGCTATTTATCTACTTCTGAGATATATTATATATATATACTACAGATAGTAATATATATATGTATTGCCACGGCAATAATTTTCTTTGTACGTTCCACCCGAAATCGTGGCAGCAGTAGCGACACACAGCCAATGAATCCGTTCATGTCGTGAAAAACATCGCCTGAGGCTCAACAGCATGAAGAGAACGTGACGAAATTGATAGTGAAATGCATTAACTTTTGCAGCTTGAAACACAATAAAATCAAAGACGAAATGGATACCAGAGGGAACACCTTAATAAATCACCGTGTAGCGCTGCAGTGCCGTTAAAGGCAAACATTAAAATATCGCTTGCTGAGGCAGAGAGGGATGCGGAGACTGAGGAAAGGCGCAGGGAAGATAGCCGGGGGCGCGTAGAGAAGAAGGAGGCTGAGCGAGGAAACGGGAGGCAAGAGGAAGACGCGAGGGCATACAAGTATGTGTGTGTTTGTACCCTACATTGCTAGGGCGCCTCCCTAATTTATAAACACAGGCCTCTACTTGCATAAAGTTTATTAAGAACATCTATGCTGAGATAACGACAGCCCCAGCTAACCCAATTTTAAATGCATATGTCATCACAAAATATCAACTCCTCCCCGGTATGATATTGCGGCAATGCGCTATACACACTAACGAAGCCAGATTGTGTACTGGCTGGTATACGCAGGCGGTGACCTACATAAAGGTCTTACCTCCTATTCTTAAAGGATGTCTACTGATGGAATTGTTATGAATATAAATCTATTGCTAGGATAACTCACTTCAATTTAAATGCATAATCTTTGTTAAAAATACGATTTCTTTCGCCGGATAATTGCGCATGCGCGCGCACCGTGTTAGGCTGCTGCGTGCCGTCTATGGCAAACATTAAAAATATAGGCTTGCTGCAGGCGAGAGAGGGGATGGTAGACCAGGCAAAGGCCAGGCGGAGATATAGGCTGGGGGCGGTAGACGAAGGAGCTGAGCGAGGACAGGGGAGCAAGGAGAAAGGACCGCGAGGGCTAAAGTAGCCGTGTTTTGTACCCTACATGCTCGTAGGCGCTCACCTAATATAAACAAGTTTTGGTGTGCCATGGGGGTGCTTTATCTGATAAACGTTTACTAGGCGAAATCTATGCTGAGATACCGCCTTAGAGCATTTTAAATGCTATATTCATCAAAATATAACTCCTCTGGTTGAGATATAAGGAGAGCGCCCTAGCATGTAGGCTAGAAAATACGCTACTTTATGCCCTGAAGTCCTTCCCTTGCCTCCCCTGTTCGCTCGCTCAGCCTCCTCTTCTTCTACCGCCCCCAGCTATTTCCCTGCCGCCTTTCCTCAGTCTCCCATCCCGCTCTCCCTTCAGCTAAGCTATATTACAATGTTTTGCCCAGACGCACTGGCACGCGTAATATGTTGTGTCCGCGCGCATGCGCAATATATCGCGAGAGAAATCGTAATGTTTGCAAAGATTATGCATTTAAAATTGAAGAGGAGTTATCCTAGCGATAGATTTAATATGTAACATGCAATCAGTAGACACTCATTTAAGCAATAGGAGGAAGACCTTGCATGATCAAGGTCACCGCTGCGGCTATACGGCAGCCAGTGCACAATCTTGGCTTCGTTAGTGTGTTAGCGCATCGCAATAAAAATACACCAGAGGATGTATATTTGTGATGAATATGCCATTTAAGATGGTTAGGGGATATCTCAGCATAGATTTCCCCTAATAAAAAATCTTTTATCAGTCAGACGCTGCTGTTTATAATTAGAAGAGCGCGCCTAAGTATGTAGTGTATAAAAACGCCAAACTTTATGACCTCGCGCTCCTTCCCTTGCCTCCCCTGCTCCCTCGCTCAGGAACCTCCTGTCGTCTTCTCCGCCCCCAGCTAATCTCCCTGCGCGCGTTTCACTGCAGTCTCGCCATCGCCCTTCTCCTTCAGTAAGCTCTATAAATTGTTTGCCTTAGACTGGCACTGCACGCCTTAACACGTGTGCGCGCGCATGCGCAATATATCGCGATGCAGAAAAACGTCTTTTGCAAAGAATAGCATTTAAAATAAAGAGGAGTTATCCTAGCATAGTATCTTATATAATCAACATTCGACAGTTGACATTATTTTGAAATCCGTGAGGAAGAACCTTTGTCATGTAAGCGTCCTCACTGTGCTATACCAAGCCAGTACCGCAATCTGATAAAGTTAGTGTGTTAGCGCATGCCGCCAAATACTCGCCAGAAAGATGTTATATTTTTGTGCGATGAATATGCATTTAAAAAGGTTAGGGGGTATCTCAGCATAGATTTCCCTAATAAACTTTTATCAGTAGACCTCTGTTTATAATTAGGAGATCGCCCTAGCATGTAGGGTACAAAACACCTACTTTATGCCCTCGCGTCCTTCCCCTTGCCTCCCCTGTCCCTCGCTCAGCCTCCTTCTTCTTCTACCGCCCCAGCTATCTTCCCTGCCGCCTTTCCTCAGTCTCCCATCCCCTTTCTCCCTCAGCAAGCAATTTGATAATTTTTGCCTTAGACGGCACGGCACGCCTAACACGGTGCGCGTGCATGCGCAATATATCGCAAGAGAAATCGTATTTTGCAAAGATTATGCATTTAAAATAAAGAGGAGTTATAGATTCATATAATAACATTCGATCCGTTGACATCATTTAAGAAATCGGAGGAAGACCTTGCATGTAAGGTTCTCACTGCGTATACCAGCCGGTACACAATCTGGCTACGTTAGTGTGTTAGTGTAGTGAAGCGAATTCCGTCATAATTGGTGATTAGAATTTAGACCGCGCGTCGGTCTCAGGGACAGCTAATGTAATGAAGCAAAATCCCGCACCTACTTAAACATGCAGATTAGCAAAGGCGAGGTAGGCTTGTGACAGGCCTGGCCTCGTAAATGATATATTACGCTTCAGAGACGGGTACCACCACGGTACGTAGTTCCAGGTAGGACAACAGATCTCTCCCCTCCCTATCAAAAGTTAGCGACAGCGGTCAGTTCTGACCACGGCGTGACCAACTTTAGTCACGTGATATAGCGGGTTAATTGACGTGAAATCAGAATAAAAAGGCACGGTTTCTAACAGAGAGTAGAGTCGGACCCAGCATCTTCGTGAGTATAGTTCTATCTTAGTATTGTTTTGAGTCTCGTATACTGTTTGCATATGTGTTTAAACTTTATTGAACGATAGTATTTGTGTGTAAACTCTATTGAGATACGCAACGCACGTTACGTATAGTATGTATGTCGAGTTACGTAAACGGACGTGTACGTGACATTAGACGTAGAGGCTTATAGCATGCTCTGTACTACTCAGTAAGAGACCTAATATAACGATTTGTTGTTGTACGTTACACTCTGTGTTTGGTCATACGTTCTTCCACGTCTGTCTATTAATCGTGTTCACCTAAGGGTCTAGTGCCCGTGCCACAAGCAGAACCTGGTACTATACGATCTTAGCTACATTACAACTGGTGCCCTGACAAAAAGCTTGGTAAGGCAGCATAATTATTATGCAGATACTGTTTGTGTCAATTATACGTGCAATTTGTGTGTGTGTATACTCGGTGTATCGCTATACAATCTACATTCGTCACGTGTGAGCGCAAATACGAAATCCACGTTGCCGCTGCCGTAAGAAATCACCATGAAACTGTAAGTGCACGTTTACGCTTCTGATTACCGAGTGGTTGGACTGCGCATGATTTTGCATTGTATGTATAATTAGATATACCCTTAATCACTATTGAATACCGTAAACTGTGTAACATTACATTTAACGTTTAATAATGGCGACCACACATCCCCTCCTATCAGAAACTAACATAGATCGTTCATTAGACCTATCAGACGATAAAGCGGAGGTTTTATTTCCTAAATTGCCTATGCAACAGCTAGTTAAAGAGATACAAGGCCTATTGCTAGTATCAGGTTATCGAGAATTTAACGGTACAGATGAGACACCTGTTACCTTTACTCAATGAGTCCAAAATATCACTCACTTATTTATAATATTGGATGAGACAGAAGATAAACGACGTGTAAGACTAGCGCTTCGCTTACTTCATGGCGAGCCCGCTAATTATGCGGCAGAA